CTGAATGGATTAAAGCCAGTAATATGCATCAGTGTCTGTCCTGAATCCGCTGCCCATCAGCTTCATGGGGGGCATCCAATGAAGTTGGTGGGCGGTAGATACAGGACGGGCAAAAGGAAATACTTCTTTACACAGCAAGCAATGAAAATGTAGAATCTGCTGCCACAGTAGGGACGGCCACAGGAATAAACAGTTTTAAAAAGGGATTAGACTGATTCATGGAGGAGAGATTTGTCAGTGGCTACTAGCCATGGTGACTAAATGGAACCTCCACATTCAAAGGCAGTAAGACTCTGATTATCAGTGCCAGGAGGCACCATCTGGAGAAGGCCTCAGTCTCTGTTCCCTGTTGTTGGCCCTCCAGAGGAACTGGTTGGCTACTCTGTGAGACAGGCTGCTAGACTAGGACTATTGGTCTGATCCAGCAGGGCTCTTCTGATGTTCTTATCAGGGGAAGGCCTCGGCCTCTCTGCCCTATTGTTGGCCCTCCAGAGGAACTGGTTGGCCTCTGCGTGAGGCAGGATGCTGGGCTAGATGGGCCTTCACTGGTCTGATCCAGCAGGGCTCTTCTGATGTTCTGATCAGGGGAAGGCCTCTGCCTCTCTGCCCTACTGTTGGACCTCCAGAGGAACTGGTTGGCTACTGTGTGAGACAGGATGCTGGACTAGATGGACCACTGGTCTCATCCAGCAAGGCTGTTCTTATGTTCTTATCACCCCAAAGCTATTATGTGAGGGGAAGCTCTACTCTGTCAGTCAATATTACCTGTTCCGTTGGGGTACAGAGGGTGCTGGTCCTTGTACCATGTGATGGATGGAGTCGGGTAACCATTCTGGCTGGTACATGTCGCAATCTAAGACAGACAAACAAACTCAGACACCACATAACCTTAAATGATTGTCATCCGACAGCTCACATTTTCGCTTGGGGTTCAAATCCCAGGTCTGAGCTATATGTTTCTTGCTCAGCTTGGAAACAAGCATTCCCGTAAATTCGAATTTGCCAATCAGCTACCAGATTAATTTTTTTGCCTCGGGCCTTTGCATCCAGCTGAGCATTGGCGGGCAATTGGCGGCATGTCTCCTGCCACAAGCAGGCAAATGGGAACTCAACAGGTTAGAAAAGCGACGGTATTTGCTGCCCCAAGCAAACCTCACCACTCACTTGTTTTCTTTTGAGCCAAATTCCAGTCTCAGAATTCTCAGAAAGCCTTCTTTAATTGCACTTAGTAATAATCAGGGCTATTTTTCGGCAGGAACGCACAGGAATTGAGTTCCGGCTGGCTCCCGAGTTGGCCACGCCCAACAGGAACTCATTAGCGTAATAGGCCACACCCAACAGCAGAAACTCATTAGCATATTAACCCACACCCTGGCAGCACAGCTCATTAGCATAATAGGCCACATCCCACACGTTACCAGAAGTGTAAAAAAAAGGCCCTGGGTTTTGACAACAAAGTAAACAGAATAAGAAGCAAAAGGTGGGTGTGGCTGGATGAGTACACTTCTGGTAACGTGTGGGATGTGGCCTATTATGCTAATGAGCTGTGCTGCCAGGGTGTGGGTTAATATGCTAATGAGTTTCTGCTGTTGGGTGTGGCCTATTATGCTAATGAGTTCCTGCTGGGCTTTGTCTATAAAAAAAGCCCTGGTAATAATTAAGTACCATCAAGTTGCAACCAACTCATGGCAAACCTTCATGGCGTCTTCAAGGCAAGAGACATTCAGAGGTGGCCTGCCCTCGCCTTCCCCTGCACAGTAACCCTAGGATTTTATTTTTAGTATGAATAACACTGTAATTAACCATCATTACTGTATCTAAGATTGAAGCGTAATCATCTTCGGTAGATAAATATACCAAGAAGGGAAACCAAGTTGAAGTGAAATTGGAATCAGTAAAGTCTGCAGTCTTAGCAAAGATAGCATCAGAAAGTTTATCCATAAGGCAAAATTCACATCGTTTCTTTATCCATTCAGAGATGGTGAGATGCGTGTTATTTTCCCAAGGTTTGGCTATAACAAATCTGGCTGCCGCGCACAATAAAGCAATGAGTTCTTTGTGTCGTGGGAGAGGAGGGTCCAGTTGCCAAGCACCCAGGAGTAATGGTTCTGGATCAAAAGGCATGTTGTATGTTGTGATATCAGAAATATGGAGGATTATTTCTTGCCAAAATGCATGTATATATTTGGCAATCCCACCAACAATGTCAACAAGAGGTTCTTATTTCCCCACAACCCCTCCAGCATAAGGGCGATAGAGATGACTGTATACGATGCAATTTTTGTGGTGTGAGGTACCACCTAGTTATGAGTTTAAAGCACTGTGTTCTAGTGATAATACATTTAGATCGAGCCAACATGGACTACCAGAGGGATCGCCAAGTTGAGGGAGGAAATTCCTTTCTCCACTTCCTTGGAGATCTCCCCTCCAAGGACTAACCAGGGCCCACCCCGCTTAGCTTCTGCGTCAGATCACACAAAAATAGTGGCCCCAGAACCATGGGGTTTTCAAGGCAAGAGATGTTTGGAGGTGGTCTGCCATCGCCTTCCTCAGGTCTTCCCTGGTGGTCTCCTATCCAAAAACTAACTAGGGCTGACCTTGCGTGGCTTCCAGCTGCCGCACTTACTGTGCTATAAAGCTGCTGTAGCTATGGGCAGTGTTCCCTCTAAGCTGAGTTAGTGTGAGCCAGCTCACACTTTTTCAGCCTCCAGCTCACACATTTTTGTCTTTGCTCAGGAAGCCTGGCTCCAGAGCTAACTAATTTATGCAGGAGCCAAACTGCTCGCTCACAACTTTACTGGCAGTAGCTCACAAAGTAGAATTTTTGCTCACAAGACTCCACAGCTTAGAGGGGGTATTGGCTGTGGGTGACGAAGCAGGCAGCCAGCCAGCCAGCCACTAACCAAGGCCTACATTGTAGTTGACTGACGGTTGCTTTTCCCAGGACATACCTTGGCACAATGCCACGGAATGTGAAACTCTGTACTCGATCCAACCACGGGAAGTGCAATCACAGACACGCCCAACCCAGCCACGGGGACACCTGCCCTGTTCTCACCTGAGAAAGGTCATCCTTTGAGGCCCCGATGCCGTCACTCACAACAGTCACTGACGTTTCTGGAGTCTCTGGGGAAGGGAAAGACAGGCCAAGGGTTAGTGGCAGAGGACGGCAAAGCATGCCCTGGACGCTGCTACCGGAGGTTCCCCTTATGGCAAACCTAACAGTGTTAAAATTGTTTCTTTCCTTATTTTATTTGTCTTTCCTGTTTTTGTTTTTGCAACCGGAGTAATAAACAGCAAACCCCTCGTCCTACAATAAACCTCGTTCCACAGGAAAACAGGGAAGAATTTAAAGGTCGCTACTGCTCAAGTCCTCATGTGATCGGACGACAGCTGCTAGAGATTTTGCCACACCGCAGGGTAGTTTGTTTGTCTTTGTCTTTGTCTCTAAGTAACAGGGATGATTTTGCTTCTGGAGAGGGGAAGTCCTGATGAAATAAAGGAGAGATCAGTTCCTCTCTTAGAGCTGGAGATTCGGGACACTCTAGGAGAATGTGGCCCACAGAGTCAATTTTGCTGCCGCCACTATTACAGCGTCGATCTGAGTATGAAATCCAATTAAATCTCCATAAGAACATAAGAGATGCCAATGTTGGATCAGGCTAAAGGCCCATCCAGTCCAACACTCTGTATCACACAGTGGCCAGAAATACCAGTGCCATCAGGAGGTCCACCAGTGGGGCCAGGACACTAGAAGTCCTCCCACTGTTGCCCCCCCCAAGCACCAAGAAGACAGAGCATCACTTGCCCCAGAGTCCCTATCTATACCTTGTGGCTAAGAGCCACTGATGGACCTCTGCTCCATATGCCTATCTAATTCCCTCTTGAAACCATCCATGCTTGTAGCCGCCACCACTTCCTGTGGCAGTGAATTCCAAGTGTTAATCACTCTTTGGGTGAAGAAGTACTTCCTTTTATCTGTTCTAACCCGACCGCTCAGCAATTTCATGGAGTGCCCACGGGTTCTTGTCTTGTGAGAAAGGGAGAAAAGTACCTCTTTCTCTACCTGCTCTTTCCCATGCGTAACCTTATAAACCTCAATCATGTCACCCCTCAGTCGTCGTTTCTCCGAGCTAAAGAGCCCTAAGCGTGTTAACCTTTCCTCATAGGGAAAGTGTTCCAACCCTTTTATGATCATTCGAGTTGCCCTTTTCTGCACTTTTTCCAAAGCTATAATATCCTTTTTACGGTGTGGTGACCAGAACTGCACACAGTATTCCAAATGAGGTCTCACCATTGATTTATATAGGGGCATTATGATATTGGCTGATCTGTTTACAATACCCTTCCTAATAATCCCCAGCATAGCATTGGCCTTCTTTATTGCAGTCACACACTGTCTCGACATTTTCAGTGAGTTATCCACTACAACTCCAAGATCTCTCTCTTGCTCAGTCTCTGCCAGTTCAGACCCCATCAATGTGTATTTATATTTAGGATTTTTGGCTCCAATGTGCATCACCTTGCACTTGGCCACATTGAACCCCATTTTCATTAGGACTTGGAAACAGGAGGGGGGAACATGGTTGCTAAGCGACTCCAAGATGTGCTTCTCCCATCAGGACCGGCTGATCTACTGGGGAGGTAGTGGAGGACACGTCCTATAGATACCTACAAAACAATGATGCTCATTCATTCTACCCCAGGCCAGAGAACCTGCCCAGCCAAAGCCCAAGAAGCAATGCTTTACACCCGCTGTGGGACTGAGGCCCGAACACAACTCACTCGAGACACGCAGCTCCGCCTGCTTCTCCGCAAAGCCGGCACTGCCCGCTCCCACCTGGCACCAGTACGTCCTGGCATCCCGCGGGGCCACCTTGCTGATGCTCAGGGCAAATTCGTCGCTGATGCCTACTCGGTCTTTCATGTCTGACTCCTTGAGGTCCACCCCGTCCTGGGTCTTGGACAAGATCTCCTTCCGTTCACTTTTCTCCATCTAAAGTGGCAGGAGAAGTGGCAACAGAAAGGAAATATGTATTAGAAGTGCTTTTTCTGTGTAAAGAAAGGAAAAGAAAAGAAAGATGCCTGCTCTGATATGTAAGGCGGTGCCGATTTCTACCAATTCCCCATCGGGACATGGAGACCTCCCCCAAAAGGTACCAATACTCAGTACTGGGGAGTAAAGACCTTGTTGCTTCTTATAACTTTATTTAAAATAAATAAATAATTTACCTGGACCTGGATAGCCCGAGCCAAATTCTGCCCGCTGTTGAATGCAGTCCCCCTCCCCACGGCCAACCCAGAGACAAGAGAGTTGTGTGAAGGGAGAGGGGACTCTGGGGGAATAAGGTGGGCATGACCTTTGACCCCAGTCACAAAATGCATTGCCAGAGCAAATTCGGAGCACGCCAACGCTTTCCCCAAGCACGGCACCTTCTACTTAAAGGTGTCTCTCCGCACCGCCTTCCTGTGCTGAGAAGTGACCCATCTGGGGTTGCCAACCTCCAGGTGGGGCCTGGAGATCTGAAATTATAGCTGTTCTCCAGACGACCACGATCAGTTCCCTTGGAGAAAATGGCTGCTTTGGAGGATGGATTCTATCAATGCTTCCTCCAAACTTTGGAGTCTTGTGAGCAAAAACCTACTTTGTGAGCGACTGGCATGAAAGTTGGGAGCGAGCGATTTGGCCGCTGCATCAATCAGTTTGCTCTGGAGCCCTCCTTCCTGAGCTGAGACAAAAATGTGTGAGCCGGAGGCTAAAAAACTGTGAGCTAGCTCACACTCACTCAGCTTAGAGGGAACACTGGACTCTATGGCATTACGCCCTGCTGACACCCCCACTCCAAACCCTGCCCTCCCCAGGCTCCGCCCTCAAATTCTCCCAGAATCTCCGAACCCAGCGTTGGCAGCTCTACACACATCGGAGAGAGCTAAAAATTGCTGTGTTTGTTTCACACACCCAGTGTGCAAAGCGTCTGTTGGGGGAGGTATCTGCGAATTTCCTGCCTTGTGCAGAGGGTTGGACTAGATGGCCCTCTAGTTCCCTTCCACCTCTATGGTTCTATGTTCTGCAGTTTGGTTAGGCTCCATTTCCCAAATCTTTTGACTGGCTTAAAACTGGTTGAAGCTCCACTTCTTTTTTTAAAAAGTAGCTCATGTCTTTGTTTTATTATTGGCTTATGCCCAGGGGGTCATTTCCTGACGGAGCGCACAGGAGCGGTGCTCCGGCGCCCAGGGGGCGGGCACATGCAACAAGCCCCGCCCCCTCCTCCCAGCAGCTCTTAGTCAGAGCAAGAAGCAGCTAGGTAAGTTGCAGAGCCCTCCCGCCCATCTTCAGGTACAAGCTCTCCCTCCTCTGTAAGGGCAGATCTGCACGTTCCCCCCCCCCAATAGCTAGCAATCCAAAACAGTCCAGTGGAGCCTGAGCGGTAGTTGTTGCCAGGGCTCTTTTTGTAGCAGG